ACATCTGACGGAGGCGAGACGACGGTCCACTCGCTGAAGGGCCCAGGAGAAACCGGACAAAGAAACCACAATAGTTATATCACGTCTTAGATTTGGACATACAGGATTAAACAGTACTCTCTTTTTAATAGGGAAACATGATACTGGTAAATGTGATTGTGGAGAAGAGGAAACAGTAGAACACGTTCTGGTAAACTGTCAGAAGTACAGAACTGAAAGAGATCAATTAATTAATAGACTTGATGATATGAAAATGAGATTAAATCCATTTGAAATTTTACAGCAAAAATCAGTTTCTGATAGTTCTCAAGCTTTGATTAATTATCTGAGATCGACTCGATTATTTGATAGGATATGATTTTTTTTTTTTTTTTAATATTAATAAGTCGTTTCAGTCCACACTCCTTTCCAGTTGGTGGCGGTAATGCACACCTAAAGTTTTTTGCAAACCGCCAATAAACCCTAAATAGAAGAAGAAGAAGAATAAAAACATGGCAGACGAGGTTAGAAAATGCTCAAAGAAGTATTTATTTTTTGATTTAAAATAAGCCTGTAATGTAGAATATAGCTTGTTTTTGTAAATTMAGTACATTCGTATCTGTAATACATACGTACGTGAAGTGACGGTGATTACGGTATTGTAATCCGGTAAAAAAACGAAGAAGAAGATCCTCGCAAACAAAGACACGCCTGAGGCGCTTGTGTTTTCCACAACATGGATAACTCATTTCAACACGGTCAGTCTGAACATTTTCGGCCTCCTGCTTATACCGGAGACTACCCGCAGACACGGTACGCCGCCCCCGAGCAGCAGGGTCCGACACTGCCAGACCCCAGCGCCCCGTCGTGGACACCTCCACCGGCTTTCGATGGCCAACAGTACGGACTCAGGTACGACTTCCCTCCTCCTTCGCCTGGAGGAGCGGCTTTCGGGGGCCCTCTGTATCCAAACCAGTATAGGTTTGATCCCTCTGTCCCTCCGCCTCCYTTTGACTACCACTCACAGGGAAACTTCCCGGGAATGGCGCCTCCCGGCCCGGTAAACTCGTACAGCAGCACCGAAGTCTCCACGTTTCCGACTTTCTCCTCACAGCTCGGTTCTGCTGCTTCTTCCCGGTTCGACAGCGCGTCGGAGTCGGACTGCGGCCCGGGACAGCGTCGGGACCCCCGTGAGGGGGCCGATTTTTACTGGGGGGGCCCGTACCCGCCTCAGGACCGTGACAGCTGTCCAGAGGATGAGGACGCGCTGCAGAGGAGACAGGACAAGCAGTGGCTGGAAGGTTTTTTACGGAGCAGAGGTACGACAACCGGGAGACCTCAGACCCGGCATCAACAGCAGCCAAACCCCATCTCTGTGTCCGCCTTTAGAGACACCCTGTACGGGTCAGTGCAGCTGGTGTCACRGCTGGAAGAGCTCTGTCAAAGTCTGAAAGGCAGCTTGCAGAGTGAYAGTGTGTGGGCAGACTCCTATCTGAAGGCTTCACGTGTGAAGAAGGAGCTGCAGGACAAACTGAAGCTGCTCAGTGACGCACAGTGTTTACAGCAGCTGAAGGTGAAAGCCTCCAGAGCTGCACAGAAAAGGGCCCGGCGCCTGAGGGCCAAGAAGGAGCAGCAGATGGAGAGGAAACAGGCCGAGGAGCGTTGCTCTGAGAAGGAGGCAGCCATAGATAAATGGAGGATGAGACAGATCCAGCAAGTGGAGGAGAAGAAGAAGGCAAGGATGCAATAACATATGTTTTTGAGTGTGCAAAAAAAAAAAAAACAGCCTTGAGATGATGAGAAATATCAACATTTTGTTTGYGTGTCAGGAGCGGGAGCTGAAGCTGGCTGCAGATGCTGTTCTGTGTGAGGTGAGGAAAAAGCAGGCGGACGTGAAGAGGATGCAGGACATCCTGCGATCTCTGGAGAAGCTGCGCAAGCTCAGGAAAGAGGCAGCGTCCAGGAAAGGTGAGAGTGGGACATCCTTAGGGTTTTTTTTTTTTTTTTTTTTTTTTTTTTTTTT